TACACGTGAAATAAAGCTTCTTTCATGCATTTACCATGTATCCTGTAGAGTATATGATTAAAAATATGTTTATAAATTATTCTGAACGAGTTTATAAAACTTGTTATAGTCGGGAGATGCCTTCAACCTCAAAATAAAGTAACCTATTATATCCCTAAACAATATAAATATAAAGAATTATATATGCTCTATTTCAAAATAATCATCACATCAAAAAGCCAAATACATACATACACAAATATATATGTATATAGATATAAGATATGTTTAGATGGAATCAAATCATAATTTCAGAAGTGATTTTATGATATACGAATTAAATACATAAAAAAATTTATCTCGATTTATAAAAAAAATATTTTAAAAAAACACGTCTTACGTTTTCCAAACACCCCTGTAAACAAAGATGCATATAAAACCAGAACAAGACAGTTTTAATTTAAACACAAAGTTTCGTCCAATTGAGAAAGACAAAGATTTGGTCAAAGATTCGCACTGCAACCCTGAAAGGCATTGACTAGCTGGACCATCCACTTTTAATCTGGATGATTCATATTTATGCTTATCACCAGTTTTTCCTTTTGGCATGGAAATACTCGTGATATATTACTGTTAAGTAAAATTTAATAAAGAAATTATCGTCTTCCTCAGATAGGTGATTAAATTTAAGTTGCTTACTTTGAACAAAAATGACCTATAAATAGGAGAAGAGTGGTATTTCTTACTAAGCTTCTACTGCTCTTGGCTAAAAGCTATCGTTTATTGTGCAACTTTACTTTTCTCGATATTTCTCTGACATACTTGTTTAATTTATTCCATACTTCCATTTATAATCTCCTTGCACCTGGCGTTTTTAATTTCTTAGATTTATCTCCTTTATGTACTTCTGTTATGTAATTTAATTTGGTGATTTTGTATATGTATCTTTTTACTTTTAATTAATTTGTCATTTTATCAAACAGAAAAAAAAAGCCTCTTCTTTATGGGTCCCACAAGACAATCTATAGGTTCTGACTGAGAAAGGGTTTGGTTTCTCACGAAAGTACTTCTAAAAATTTTTTTATATATAAATTGAGATAAAAATTTTTTTAACATATTTATTTTATATATTGTAAAATTATTTTTAAAACTATAATTTTGTTTTTACCAAAACTTGTAATTCAACTTTTAGCCTACGTACTACTATTTCTCATGTATAATAATGCACATTCTCCAAATCTTTCTAAATGTTTACAAAAAATTTTTTTTTTCATCATACGTCAAGTTCATTGAGATTTGAGTTTACAGTAGAAGTTGGAAAGCAAGCAAGACTAGAAAAATGAAAATAAAATCAACAAACAAAATTTAAAAAAAACTTGTTGTTAATCAGTTTTTAGCCAAGTGTTTTATAAAACAAAACAAAAAAAAAGGAATCTGTTTTCAGGAAGAGAAGTTCTGTATGTTTCCGTAATTTTATTCAGTAGAATTATTTTTTTTCCTACCAAGAGATTGAATCTAAGAAGTTTTAGGAGGTGTTTGGATACCCTGAAAAATGTTTCTCAGAAGCACTTTTTCACAAATTGAGATAAACTCCTCTACATATTTATCTCGTAAACCATAAAATCACTTTTAAAACCATAGCTTGGTTTCTATCCAAACACCCCCTTAGTCCCTTGGATAAACTAAGGTTTAAATTCTTATTGAAAAAATATCCATATTTAATATCTAACAATATCTTAAACAAGATTGCCTCTAATAAAGATATATATATTTATTTATATAAGCCCAGGCCAAAAAGTAACTATTTCTTCCTATAAAACTGGGCAAGTGGTAGATAACAACCTTATATGCTTTAGCCGCTTGACTGCTTGAGCTCTCACCTCTTAAACTCGTTGGAGCTTCCTTCTCTTGTCTCCGTCTTCTCAAATACTAGGACTCCTTGATATAAAAATAAACTAACTATTTTGGACAGATTAAAAAAATTTATTAAGTAAGTTATTTGTCATAAATAAGTATCATTTTTCCTAAAATACTTTTGTAATCATTTATATTAGTCAAAACTATAATTTAATAGAACTTTTAACATGTGTAACTATTACAAAGATTATTTTAAAAAAAATAGATAAATATAAGAACAAAAAAAAATCAAAGTTTTATATTTATAACCAAATTAGATATCAAATGAGTTTTTATATTAAGAATAAGGTATTATGACTTTTTCCTAACAACCATCTGAGCAGACCTTATTTTTTGTATTTTTTCTTACCAATACGGCCATTATATCTTTTCTCCGTTCGGCGGAGAAAGGCATTTGGCAATACGGCCATAATTGTCTATGTTCCCCAAACTGGGACATTTGGTCTGTAAAACCGCGTGAAACCTTTATACGAACCTTCTCACAAATAGAACCGGGAATCAGGGCCGGCCCGGCCCTCCAGGGTTGAAATTTTAAAAATACCTCAATTTATTAGGTCCAGCTCTTAAACTACAGGGTCAGGGCCGGCCCGCGGGCTTTTGGCCCGTTTAAGAAAAAATACTATTTTTTATATTTATCATATTTTTTTATAAAAATATAAAAATAAACCATGAAATTATTAATAAAAGACATAAATATGAATAAAATTAAGTCACAAATATAAAATATTATCATATATAAATATTCATCAACATCTAAGAACATCTAAAACATTCATTAACAAGATAACAACATCTAAAAGTTTTATCTATAATGCAATTGTGCAATAAATAAACACTATCATTAATCTTTTGAAACTTCATCATCACTATAATTAATTATTTTTCTTCATAAGTATGCTTTTCTTTCGTAATAAAAATATCAAGTTTTTCTTCTTTATAAAATTTTATTTTTAAATTTTGCAATCTAACTATTATTTTACTTTAATGTGAGAACATTGTTGTTGAAACTCATGAATTTCTAATTCAAATTATAGAATCACAAGTTATATAAGTATAAAAATATTCTATTATCAAATATATATATATAGTTTAAAAATATCAACGCATATAATATAAATCAAATCATTATTAAAGTCCAAATTAACCCATTTTTTAAAATTTAATTGGATAAATTATTGTCTAAAACTAAATTTAATTTTAAAATGATAATAATAACCAAATATTTGAAATATTATTAACAATGTAAAAAATTAATAACATTAATATTATATAAAAAAATTAAAAAATAAAAAAAATTATAAAAGGGCTTAAAAGGGCCGACCCTTTTAAGCCCTCGGCCCTCCAGGACTTATTTATCATTTTAAGAGAAAAATGCCAAACCCAGCCCTCATAATTTCAGGGCCTAAAAGGGCCGGCCCCGACGGGTTTGGCCTATTTTCCGGGCTCTACTCACAAAGAAAAATTGTGTAGGTTTTCGGTGGGGGCTTTACTGTGGTCTTTAACCGTCTCATACGTCCATATGTTATGCTGTCTGTCTCTCTCTCTCTGTTTTTTTTTTTTTACGGAATATGTTGTTTCTCGTTCAGTTGGGCAGTTTATTGACTGTATAATCTAACCCTATGAAGTTTATGTGTGTATTCCTTTTATCAGGTTATTGTTCCCTTTGATCTTAATTAGAGATTTCCCACAATTTTCAAGTTAGCATATATCCATGAAATAAGTAGGAGAAAGCTAAGTGAACAAATTAAAAAGCTGATAATACGTAGGAAAAAGCGCATTTTAATCTCTTAATTTCATGTAATGTTTTAATTTTAGTTTAATTTTATGTAATGTTTTATTTTAATTCCTTAATTTTATAAAATATTTTTTTTCAATCCTTTAACCAATATTTTTAATGACTAAAAGTGTATCTTATCCATATAAATTCTTAATGTCTTGTCACTTCCTCTTTTATATTTACAGAAACTTTTGAAGAAAAAATGTTTATATTTAAATTTATCCTCACATTCTTGCTTTAGGTCTGTTTGGTTTGAGAGGAGGGAGGGGTAAGAGAGGGAGGGGAGGTTTTATCCTCACCTTGTTTGATTTGATTAAAAAGAAAGGGAGGGGAAGATACTTAATTATCCCTTGTTTGGTTCAAGGAGGGAAGGAAAGGGATAGTAATAATCAATTTACCATTTTACCCTTACATATTAGTTTATATTTTTTTATTGATATATTATATAAATTAATTCACATCTTAATTTAAAATATATAATTTAATAAAAATTCATTCTTATCATGTTAATATGTGCATTAAAAAATTGATACAATAATTTTGTATTTTAATTAATATAATAATATATTTAAAATAATCAAATTAACATTTTATATGCTCTAAGAAAAATAAAATTTTATTCTCTTAGGCTATCATTTTTTTCAGCTTTAAAATATATTTAATAAATAATATATTTATAAAAAACAATTAATTTATAATATTATAATTTGTTATTTAAATAATATTTTATTTCTAAATAATTTTTATAATATATTTTTTAATTATAATAATTTATATTTTTTATTTTTTACTTAAGATAATATATTTTTTATTCGAAATAAATATTATGATAATATATTTTATGGGTAAAAGTGGAATATTAAAAAAATTATAAGAGTATAATGGTCCATAAATTTAGCTCCCCTCCAAAAACTCCCAATTTGAAGGGGAGCTAAATTGGAGGGATGGAGAGGAGGAGAGGGGACATTTTAACTTCCCTCTCCTCCAAAATTTTTAACCAAATGAGGAGAGGGGTTCATTTTTCCTCCCCTCCCCTACCCTCCAACCAAACACACCCTTAAGCAATGCATTGACTTGACCGGTGGACCCTCTTAGTTGCTTCATTGCTGCTTGCTGGGACTCATGGGATTCCCAAATTGTTAGAGCCTACATAAAATTTGTTCTCAGTAATCCAGACATACCAAGAGCAAGCAGAAGGTTTTTAAAAACCAAAAAAACAAAAAAGAAAAGAAAAGGGAGCAAGCAAACTGAAACCTTCACAGTCCTCAATGTATCAAAACTGAGAATGAGAAGTCTATTTAAGCTTAAAGCAAACATTAACAATTGCTTTGGCGAAAAAGGAAAAAAAATCATAAACAGTTGAATTAGACAACTCAGGCGCCATGATGGTATAGCAACTGTAAGTCTATAATCTTTCTAGTTTTCAATCAAGTTCAAATGCATTAACAATTATAACGTACAGAGCCCAAAACATGACACAGACTAGGATGATCAGAGGTTGCTCATCAAGAGACAAAGATAAGGGGGGAAAGTTGACCTAGGGTTACAACTTGATGATAAAATTAAAGGATCCAAAATGCATGGAATGCTCAGCCTCGACTGCCGGCGCTGGGAAAGAACCCTTGAGATCAATCATGAGATCAATGGATGTAGGTAAAAGACCCATTTGCCAAATCAAATGTAATTGCTCCGCTCCACTCCATATGAGGTATATACTCAAAGGGGCTTCATACCTCAACTTCTGATAAACCCTGCATGACAGTTCCAAGTCCTAACAATTGAACAAAATTTCTCAAACATTTCAAGGGATACAAATATGGCAAACAAATTAAGGACATTACCAGCCCAATATATGTTAAACATTCTGTACTTTGCTTGATACTTCTTTCACTTTAATATCTCCTTGTCCCTGCATCAAAGTTAGACACACAATACACTTTAACGTCTCCCACTTTGGTCGTTCTTAAATATTTGAAAAATTACTATAATGACTAACGGAATCTGTTATTCCCTGTAATGGCTATGGAATTTTAAACTCATCATGAACCCTATAACCACAGATTTCCTATAAAACCAAATTGCAGGGCATCCAAGTAAACCTCTATTTCAGAGAATATATATATCTGTGTATACAAATATATTGTTAGATAAATATAGGAAAAAAGATGGAAAAGTCATCCTTACACAACTCCAAAATTCTGTTCTAAAGCCTCAAATATTTTCAAGTCTCTTCCACAACAATGGCACCAGCATTTTCAGTAAATTTCTAAAGTAAATTTGAACAGCGGCCAACCAACACTTGATGCAAGATGCATATGAAAACAGTGGCTGACATGGAATACAGCAAGTTTTTAAAACTCATTTGCAGTAAATTTGTCCTTATGGCACTTAGTATTGTGCGAGTCAAATCTCAAACTCAGTGGCACTATTAAGGAAGGGAAGCAATATCATATCTATGATAATTCGTGTCAGGTCTTTACATCCTCTAGGAGAGAAATTTCTTGTTGACAATGAAGCGCTTTAAATAGGAAAATCCTCAAAAGTAGAATATCTATCCACTTTGCTATGAAGGAGGTTAACCTTCCAGACCATCATCGTAATTTGACCTACGAAGAACTATACTGCTGCATCTTGATATGGAAGATGCATTGGCTATTTCTTTCAATGACAAATAAGTTAGGCAAGTTCATAATGAACAATACTCATGCAGAAGAAGCACTTGGTGAAACATTACTTGTTAAAAAGAACATATGAATGAGAAAGAGACATATCAGAACGTTTGTACATACCAAAGGGAACCAAATCAAAACAAATTAATGAAACCATAAAAAATTAGAGGCCCTCATGAGCATGTGCAGAACTCATGTAGGAAAAGCACTTACATATACAAGTAAAAGAACAACATCAGAACATATACACAAAAAGCTAAAGGAAAGCACATGAAAACAGATTAATGAAACTATAAGAGTATCCAATACCTAAATTCATACAGACTATCTTTACTATACACTAAAATTGCAATAACTAGCACCAATTAATCGCTTACCACTCCCTTGCTTTCATAATAATCATCAAGTGCCCATTGGTACTTTGACTGATCCAACCCGAACCACCGCGCCAAATGATCATCCAAACTTGATTGTGCTGTACAAGGAAAAGCAAACGAGTTTACTTACCAGAACAAGAATATTAAGGCAAAAACCTGAATAAAAGATTTATCGCCCAGTATTTTCTTAAATAATAAGAAAGCTAACCTGAAGAGAATACATGAGAATATACAATACTCGATATAGAAAGTACGCCGTCACTACCTTAACCAGAATCCAGATTGCAACCATCCCTGATTTTTGACATTACTGACTTAGATCCGTTGTTCCTTAATATACCCTGTCTAGGTCTATGTGCGCTTTCACAACATCTACTAAGAGGACAGCACCGATGATTAAATACATTACATCATCTTCTCAAAAAACAAAAGGGTGCCTTTAAAGTTATAATATTTCCTACTGAAACTCTCCAAACCTAGTCATTCAATAACTTGGAAAGACCACGAGAACGACTCAACGATCAGTTCATGCATGACCTTTTTTACTGTCAGCTACTGCAAGGAAATTTGCAATATCTCAGAAAACTGGAACAAAAAATATAAAAACAAATGCTTTGTGACGGAAAGATCAAACAACACGTATTTTTCCTTCTCATGGAGGCATCCCACTAACCAAAATTCAGATCCATCAGGTACGAGTGTCATGCTCTTAAATGTCTCAAACGCATCAACTGACTTAGACAAGTTTTACTTGATTATCTGCTTTTACCCTTTTGTGAGACTTTTTTTGGTTGTTCAGCAATTGCCCGCACTTCATTTTCCAGCTACATTGACAATGATCAAAGCTACACAAACGCAAAAGCACTACCCAAAACATGCTACTTAACAGGTTTTCTCTACCGCAAAGTTCTACTTACCAGTTTGCACTTTCGTTACAGCATTCTTGAAAAACCCCAGAACAGACCCATCTGGTACGGATTTCCCAGAGACGGACTTCTCCAACTGCACCGGCGGAGGAACGACCTTCTTCGGCGAATCCAAAACGGCATCGGAAGGCTTCGGGGTAGAAGGAGGTGTCATGAAAACAGTGTAAGGGCCAATTTTGCCGATCACAGGCGGGGGAGTGGATTCTCTGTTGATAGCCATTGATGGGAAATTAAAAGAAATGAGAGAAAAGGTGAGAAAATCTGTAAGAAAATGACTTGGACAGAGAGGGAGGGAGGGACTGGATGGGGCTTTAGCGAGGAGCTTCAACAGCGAGCTCGGGAGTGAACACTGAACCGCAAGCTACACGCAGCTCAACTGGACCAAGCAGCAAGTGGCGCCCAGGTCTTCGTCTTTCTATGTACAGTACTTTACTTTAATTTTAATTTAATATTTATTCTTTTTAACTCAAAATTAGTAAGATTGAAAATTTTTAAGGCAATAATTAAGGGCCTGTTTGTTTTTTTCTATGATTTCTTATTCTCAAAACAATTTTATAAAATTGTTTTTAAAAACAAGTTTTGGAAACAGAAAACAAAAAACTTTGTTTGGAAAATAATTTTTAAAAAATCACATTTAAAAAAAATATAAAAAATTATACTTTGACAAGGGATAGTTATCACCGATAATAATAAGTAGTAGGTAGTAGAAAAGAAGAGAAGAAGATTTCTCTAATTTTTCAAAACAAAAAAATAAAAAACACAAAAACAAAAATAAGAAAACATGTAAAAGTTGTTTTGGTTTTTCAGTTTTTAAAAACAGATTATTGTTTTTTTGTTTTTTAAAACAATCAACTAAAAACATATTGCCAAACAAGTATTTTTGTTTTTCTATTTTTAAAAACAAAAAGTTGTTCTCAAAACAAGAAACCAAACGAGCCCTAACTCTCTTTGCTGTCATTTTCATCGATTCGCTTAGCTTAATTTTGAGCGATGTTGCGTCCCGTAATTTTCTCTTTACTATAACATGAATTCTTAAGTTTAAATTTATATATAGATGTAGAAAACTATCTCTAAAAAAAGTTATTCTTTATCGAATCCAATGATATTTGAATTAACCTATTAATAGGGAAGATCATATAGTTATATAAAAAAAAATAAAAAGAGTTCATAAAACTAATTGCCCAATGATACCTGAATTTTAAGTGTCAATATTTTTTGTGTATGAAATTCTTTAAGATCCTAATACTTTCTGTCTATGAAATTTTTCAAAATATTGATACTTTTTGTGTATGAAAATATATTAAATATTATTGAGTAATTAATTCTCCGAACAGATACTTTTTGTTGGTTGCTTTAATCATAATTTCAATATTTGACACGTGTAGTCTCAAAAATATTTTTTTTCTAATAAATATTAAAGCAAAAACAGAATCTACCAATGATACCTGTGTTAAATGTAAAAGATTCAATAACTCTGCTTTCAAATTTAAATTTTGTGGATCACATAAATAGAAGTCTCTTAATTTGAAATTTTTTTAAGCCATTCTCTGAGAATTCTCTCTAGCAAACACATTACAAACCGTTTTTCAGATGAATAGGGTAGGATATTTGTACATCTGGCACATAAGACCTACAAAAATAGAAAAAGATCCTCCAAATATTGGGTAGCTGTCGTTAAACCCAATAAAATACTTACTCGAAGCATGAGGCTAACTTATTGATGCGTTTCAAAAAACCCATATACAAATATCTTTTTCTTACTGACAAAAACCCACACTCAAAATGGGGGAAAAAATCTTTTCCATATTGAGCTCGCGTGCAGCAATAACAAAAGTCTTGTTTCACTTTGTGGAATCAGCTATATTATATTTATAATAGATCGCATGGCCCTATCCCACAAAGGCCTACTTCATTCCTGCTTGCAAAGGAAAAAACTAAACCAAAAGGAGAAATAGCCTTGTATATTACGTGCGAAAAAGATTTACCTATAATTATAATCAATAGTAATACGTTTGCATCATCCCAGAATACAACAGCAAAACGTGATATTGGCTCACCACAAAATCTTCCACCTGTTTTCCTATCCCAAAATAGGGGTTTTTCCATCCACATTCAAAAACTTCAGTAACATAAAACCCAAATTTAACGACGTTACTATGAACATGGACTTTCCCTCTCCATTTCATTGTTCAACTTACAGAATTCCACCTATACAACAACACAAGGGAAACAAGCGAGAACTACCTCTAATAATATATAATACCCTACTTACTATCAGACACTAGCAATGATCTATTTGGAAGAATATTTCATTGTACGTACTGAAGGGCAAAGTCTCACGGAACCCTCACAAAAAAAACAAGCATGGTCTCATGTCACTCATGATAAGCTCTTCCCTGAGCCAGAACTAAACCATATACAAGAAAATGCACTTCTAATACAAGCGTTCTGACCATAGCCTTGCTTGTCACGAGTTATCGGTGTGACCAAAGCCTCTGCCGACAATTGATGCTTGGAATGATTTCACAACTTCTTTGTGGCGCATCACGATATTTCCCTTCACTACAGCATGCTGTTTGTTTATTCACTAAATTTAGATCACAGAACTTGCCAGAGACAGCTCATGAAGTTCGCTTAGCATCCACTCCTCTCCAGTCTGACCACCCAGTACAATAGCTCTTGTCCCTCCGACAACACAAGTGCTATGTCCCCAAGCAAATCTCGGGGGACGGCCTGGTACATTTAAGATTCTCCAAGTAGGCTTCTCATCAGTTGGGTCCAGGATGTAGAGCTGGGAGGCAGAATGAAGACCTGCAACAGACCCTCCAAAAACCAGAATTCTCCCGCCAGGAAGACTGACAGCCACATGATCAAGTCTGGGAGGAGGAGCTATGCCCCCAGGATTCCCAGAACCAGGCATTCCACTACCAGTAACACATCTCCAACATGGCTCCTCTTCACTCAAATCCATCGTGAATACATCACTAGAGCGGAACCGCAATGGCCCACTCTTGGCCAGACCCCCAAACATCAGTATTTTCCTACCACCATAAACAGACAGTGTGGCACCCAGACGAGAAGGCGGAGTCCATGTGACTGGTATCTCTCTCCAAACAGGTTTCTCCATTGACAGATCAAGCAGGAATGTATCACTCAAAAGCACTCCAGAATCTGCACAGCCACCAGAAACAATCAACTTAGTTCCATCAAGGGTACAGGAGCTATGCCATGATCTGGGAAGTGGTGGTGCCAAGCCAGAAATTTCACGCCAAGTTGGAGGCTTTGCATCCAGGTCCAGCACAAACACATCATTGAGCAAGCCCTGCGTTCCACAGCCTCCAAATACAACCAAATTAGAGCCATTAACACAAGAAAGTGTATGGCCCCAACGACCTGGAGGAGGAGAGCTCACCTGGACGTGTTGCCACTCAGGATTACTAGAACTGAGATCTAATACAAAGGTGTCATTCATGGGCTGCATGTTAACCCCTTCACCACCAAATAGCACAACTCTATTACCAACAGCACAAGCACTAAAATTACAGCGTGAGGGTTCAACAGCACCCCCAACAGTCAACTTTCTCCATGCTGCAGCTTCAAGAGTTGTCAATTCTCTTGCCAGCCTGCCCCATCCAAGTCTTCTTGCAGCAGGCACGGTCTCTAAAACACGTGTGGTTTCACTTCCCCATGCATTTTGACATACCATTCTCCAAAGATCTTCATTTCTTGTTAGCTCATACAATCGCCTACAAACAGAGCCAACTGACGCAATATCTCTTGGAGTTAAGCGAGAAAGTATCTTCATAGACAAAACCTCATCGCTCAACTGCAATATCCCACAAACTCCACGGGAAACATTACGGTCCCCTGATGGAAGAGGGCGTAACAAGGCAAGAGCAGAAGAACGAAATGGATCAAATGACTTGGCAGATTCCTTAATTGTAGAACCTGGAACAGGACCAAGATCAATGTTTGCCTCTGCGAAGAGCTGAATTCCAATGACATGTGTTATAGTCTCATCATCCCCATATATAGGTGTCAACCGCAATCTGTTCATCAGTGGAGATCCATCTTTCCTAAAGTTCAGCAACTCACCTTGGAATTCGATCCCCTCCTCAAGGCATCTCCTAATTTCTGAAACTACTGCAGAGTCCACTAATGGATGCCTTCTCTTAGCATATGGGCCTCGACACTGCAAGAAACGGCTGCAATATCCATTGAAATTATTAAAAAAAAAAAAAATTGCAAGTGACATTAAATTAGAATCACAAAGGAATAGAATCTCAAGTGACCAAAGAGACACAAAAGGGACAGAAGTTATTGCTTATTTGCTCATATAGGAGCATAGTAAAATAAGAAATTCAAAAATATGGTGCAAACAAACCGTACACCAACATTACAACACAGGAACTAAGTTGAACTAACAAATTTTGGGGGCATCCAACAATCCCCAGTACTTAGGCCTTCTTAGGATGTTTATGAAATCAATATGTAAGATACAGTAGCAGGATGACAAGATAGAAAATCAAACTGCACACATCCATAAAACTTCGCCTCTTCACTATGGCAAAACCCTTTAGAACAAAAAAGTGGAAATTGCACCCAAGTCTCATCAGACACTCTAAACAAACTACATTAAATGGAGGTGTCCATCAAACTGTGTGAAGTACATTCACCAAAACTTTTATAACTAGACTGATAGAAATCTAGGCAAGGTTTTAGATGATCTGCATCTCGTTAGTATTAATCCGATATCATACTACCATTCAAATGGAAGACTTCAGTGTAAAGGGAGCCTAGGGCTTCCAAAGGGGCATCTCAAGAAACAAGTTCATTCTTCACAAAGATGGGTATGTGACAAGAAGTAAGAATTACATGTATTTGGCCAGCAGAAACAAGTGTATGGAAACTATCCAAAATGACATGGAATAAAAAAGAACACACGCACGCACATGAAAAACAGAACCAAATGAGCTGTAGTCAAAAGGTTCCTCTGCCACTCAAATTCCACCAAAACTAAAGTTAAAGAAGAAAATGGCATGTTAGAAATAAAGATTTTCAGGATGGACAATTAACTGAAGATGAAAGCTAATATAGATTGGAAAGCCTCTGAGAAATAAAACAGTCCTCCACCCAAAAAATCCTTGCAGAGATGACAAAGCGTATGGTATGTAATAAAGAAGGAAATAAGAAGTTACTTGGGGTATCTGCTGGGGTAGTTATGGGGTTATAGGATGGTATTAGGCTATAAATACATGGGTTGGGTTGGGTTCTATAGTCAAAGCTTAATAGATTAATGGATTGAATGTGTTCTGTCTCTCACTCTCTCTCTCTCTCTCTCTC